CTAACCAGATTCTCGGAATTTGGCCGGATTCTCTGAATGTGGCTGGCCCGAAGTCTTTCTGAAAAGCCATTGACTATGATACTGGGACCTGTTTCCTCTGCATATACTGGATTTTGGGGATCCAGTCTGTTTGGACACTCACCTTCCTGGACCTGGAGGGAGGGGGAAGGAACTGGAACTTCCCACAGGGCAGGAAACCCTGACTGCCCTAAGGGACGAAGAGGGAGGAGGAGAGGGAGTGGGGGGAGTGGGAGGGTGTTGGGAAGAGGGACGGAAATGGAAACTTTTATAATTTAATAAAATTTACTTAAAAAAAAAAAGATCCCAGCCCACTTGGGCACGGTCTCTTTTGCTTTAAAAAGCAGCAGTAGCTGTGCACTTGCTCTCTTGCTTCCGGCTTCCACTTCTGGCTGCTAGACTCGTTCCTTGTTGCACCAAGGGCTGCTGTCTAGGACAGTGATCTGTCCTTAAATAAATAACCCTTCAATTAAAAAAAATGCGTTGCATAAGCACAAAACCCCAAACAAACACAGAAACATACATTTTGTATAGGAAAAGTATCTTTAAATTTGTATCAGTAAACCACAATCCATACCAATGTAAATATTTTGAGATTAATAATTGGCTTTTGAATTAAGGTAGATTATTAAATCTACCTTTTCCCATATCATTCCTATATCCTATCCCTCTTTTCTCTTTATAAAGAGCTCTTTGAATTTAACTCCTTTGTTTCACTTTTTTCCTATGACCAGTAACAACTTGTAACTAACTTCCCTTAGATGATAACAAATGTTTATAACCTATCTTTTGGAAATGTGGGTGTTTTCTTTTCTAGAGTACTTTCTGTTACCTGGGAGCACTGACATCTTTGGGTGAGCCTTAAGAAAATCAGCATAATTGTTAAGTCCTAGCTGGAGTAGTCTGTGAGGCTGGACCATCTCCGACAGCAGCCTTGAAGCTGTTCTGGATGCAGAACTCCGAGGAAACTGCAGCAGAGTTGTTTTGAGATGTTGGATCATCTGAGCCATTCATTTTTATTGGTGTTTTGTCCCCTTGCTTTGAAAATACATAAAATTTTAAAGATAATATCTATATCTATACTCTTATATATATATGTACATATTATACATACCTGTACAAGTATAAATTGTGTGTTGTACACAAAAAGTTAGCTAAAGAAGATTATTTGTTTTATTTTTGAGCAAGTAAAATATATTGTACTTTTTTAAAGTTTTTTTAGGTTTATTTCTTTATGTCTATAGTCAGGATTTTAGGGGGTCTTCCCAAGTCAAACCAAATCCATATCAACTTGGAATGACTCCACGGCCTCTCTTTTCCTTGTGGAAATAAAAGCAAAACCTCTCTCCCAAAGAAACACATCTTTTGACTTCCATTTTGAAGTCAAGACATTTTTTTAAATCTATAGGTTGGTTTAATCCAGCAGGCCCCATTGTCCAATGTGTCTTAGCAACTGTCATTCCTTCAGCAGCAATTAGAAAATTCAAAGACAACACAATAACTTGCATGATTCAGATTTCTGTGTATTTTTCATCTTGATGTGGCTTTTTCCCTTTATATTACTTTATTTTATCTTTAAAGGCTTTACTTATTACTTTTAAAATATTTTTTCTGTGACTGTGTATATAATTTCTCATTTTCTCTCCCAAACCTGTGTACATTTTAAAACTCACTGTGACCCATTTGTTTTTTTCCTATTTGTATCTGCCTTTATTGTGTATCTGTAATCCTTTCTGTCTGCATGAGCAAAACTTAAACCTGCCATGCAGCTTAATTCATGGTGAGCCCTGGCGGCACTCGAGCTGGCAGCTCAAGCCCACAGTCAGCAGATGGGAGATGTTTCTCTGTATCACTGCTGGCTTGAGAAATATGGGACTGGGAAGTCACATTTGGCTCTATTTTTACATGTTTAGAACCCCACTTTTTTTTTAAAGATTTCTGGAGTCTTATTGAATATAGGTGCTGAACATCTGGGCACCACACACACATACACACACACCCATATATATATATATATATGGAATTTTGTTGGGAGCTAGAAACTCCACCTACAAACTGGAAGATTGCATACTGGCTTTCAAAAACATCTTTGGAAATGATCACAATGTCTTTAACAGCTTGCTACCTACTTTTCAAGGTGAAAGATCTGTAACAGAAATAGGTAAGCCACAAGTGAGATATATATATGCTTCTTTTGACTTTATTTACTTCAACAAACTAACAAGTATATGGAGTTCATGTGGGATTTAGTGTTTACAAATTATGAATGAATAAAATTATATAACAGCTATATCATATTTTCAAACACTCTCATATGATATCAAAACCAACTCAATAATATTTGTACACATACAAGGTGTGCCGTGTAAGGAAGGCATTGTGAAGTGTGTTCAATAATAGCTTGCCTTTGTAGTAGGTGTGCCTTTATAACATGCCTTAATGATAGATCTGTCTTTATTGTCATTTGTTTGGATTGGTATTTGAAACTGTGGGTCACCTGTAAAGATGTATCATTTCAGGTGGATTTGTGTAAAGCGAGCCTTTCAAAGAATAACTATCATGCCATCAGGTTTTCAGTGGCATCAGATATACTTTAAAGACTCTAGTCCAGCGCTTACCCATCTCATATTGGCTTCCAAACATCTTCAGAAATATTCCCACTGATCGTACATTCTGTTATACTCCAAGAGTTCTATAGAGACTGGGATTTGAAGATCTCTTCTCTATAATTTTTAGCATAGCCTATGATTATAGGCTTCAAATGTTTTCTAGGCAGTGAAGCCAAGTGGCATTCCAGGGCGAATCCTTGATAATGTGCAGAAGATGACTGAGGATAGATTTGATTTAATGACTAAAAACAGATCACAGAAATGTTTGGACAGAAATAGAAATAGGCCATGGTTTAGATGTTTGGTGAATATACACATTCAGATTTTCAAAAGTTCTTTGAGCTGGGTGTTGTGGTGGCACACACCTTTAATCCCCAGCATTCAGGAAGCAGTGACAGGCCGATTTCTGGGCCTGAGCAGGCATAGTCTACAGAATGAGTTCCAGGCTTGAGAAACCCTGTCTCAAAAACATCAACAACAAAACAAAAACCAACCGCACCCCCCACCCCGAAGAAAGACCAAAAATCAAAATGAAACCCAAGAAACAAACCAAAACCAAATCTGAAATAGAAACTTTTAGAAACAGAAAATACATTTTATTTTACTTGAGGCTCAGTTCAAGCGGAGGTTAAGCTGTTGTTCTAGTCTCCTTTCTGTGACCAATAAAACACCCTGATCAAAAACAACTTAGGGAAGGAAGGATTGATTTCGCTTGTGGTTCCCAGTTACAGCGGGAGTCACAGCAGCCGCAGGAACCCAAGGCTACCTGTCACTTCACACGACAGTGAAGAGCAGAAAGGAAGGGCTGCTGCAGCACACTGCGCACTTCCTTCACACTTAGTTAAAATTTTAGGCCCAGAGCAGGGGTTGATGCCATGACAAGCATGGTTCAATTATCAATCAGGGCAAAGACATGTCCACAGCCAGCCTGATCTACATTATTTCTAGACTGAAACTCCTTTCCAGGTAATTCAAGGCTGTGGTGTGTGTGTGTGGGGGGGGGGATATTTAAACTAACCAGCACAGCAACAACGTGTAATAGTAACGGTAGAGTATTACACAATTTTATTTGGACAGGGAATGCAGTTACCTCTGTATTCAAAGTTTGTTAGAAACTCTAGCAGATTTAAGTCCCTGGAGCCACATGAGTGGCCAGTCCCTCCCCTGAGAACCTCTAACTGCCAGGTTCTACCCACAGAATACTCTTAACTGTCCCAACTGCTGCACCCTGACCCCACCCAAGATACTCTATCCTGGTTGCTTCTATTTCTGTTTCTCAGCTGAGCAGGGGGAGCCACCTTCCTGTTTCTCCACTCCCAATAAATCTGTGTGAGGTGTGTTGTGCAGAGTGACTTTGTAGTGCTCCTTGGTTCTCAGCTGCCAGGATAGCTTTCCATCCACACTGTAATGCTTACAACGAACCCTGGCCCTGTCAGACATTTCTGAGAAATCTTCATTTTGGAAAAGGAAATGCACATTTTGAAAACCCTTTCCCAAGATCAAGTTATCTTTATAAAATCTTTACAGAGCCTATTGTGAAGAACATAAATATGCCTACATTTCTAGACTCAGAATTTAGCCTTTTAAAAAAATGGATATAAATTAGAAATAAATGTCATTTCTATAGTACAGGGAGAAAATGGTGGTTCTAGACATTTTTTATAATAAATTCTAACTTAAGCAAAATAATAACCTTGCTACTAAAGAGGTTTTGCTGTTCCTAATTAATTTATTATAGTCCATTCTGATCACCCACTTATGTAATTAATGGGTTTTTAATTAAGATATCAACAAAGCCTTTGGCATAACATGAAAATATCCTGGTGTTAGTCTTGCTTGGAATCCAGAGCTTAGAGATAGGGTTGTATGCCATTTATTCATTTGGCAATGAAGGAAAAAAATGAAAAGAAACTCAAAGTATAAGAGGTCAAAGAAACATGAAAAGTCATCCCACTAATAACCCAGAAACTAAACAGCAAGATTCTCAACATTAAAGAGCGACAAACTAGTTTTCATAGCTCCTAAAAGATTTATTTAAATTTTATTTTTTAGGCCTGTGGATTATGGTTTTAAGCTAAACTACATCCCCAGCCCTAAGAATTTTATAAACTAAGAGGCATCAATATGAAAACTACAGAGAAACTTGATGGTTTTTAATTACATACTTCAATTTTTGGCTATTTTCATTAATGATAGTATTTGTTTTCAAAATAAATGATAGTATTTTGATGTCAGGAACACTTTAGAGTGTAAACATGGTCTCATAATTGACTTTTTATATTTAAATGGATTAAAACTTTAACCTGCTTTGCTTTTATAATTAATTTATTATGGAGCTATTTATTTTAGTCACATTCTTTAATGAAATCTTTCCCAAAGAGGGGGTTTTTGTCGGGTTTTTTTTTTTTTATGTGCGTGGGTGTTTTTCCAGCATGTCTGAGCACCGCCTGTGCACCTGGAATCCGGTGAGCCAGAAGACAGCATCAGATCCCCCGGAACTGGCATTCCAGATGGTTGGAAGCTTCCACGTGGATGCTGGGAGTTAAACCTGGGTCCTCGGAAGAATAGCCAGTGCTTTTAGCCTATGACTCAGTTCTGAGGCTACCCGAGAAAATTTTTAGTAAGGGTTCTTCTTGGATAATTTTTGAGCCCCTCCCAATCAGGAGCAATAGCGTCTGGCCTGTATATGTTCCAGTTCGGCAGCATAATCACATTAAACCGTGCCTTATTTTTTTAGCCTTTTGTAGATATTGCTGTCATTGGACGCCACCGAGGATCCTAGGGTGACTGTCACAGTTTCCTTCTCTTTCTAACACGATGTGGGCATAAATCTTCAACCTTAGTGTTTCGCAACTTTACCAAACTATATGTTGACGTAAATCATAAATCTTATTAGGTCTCCAGTATTTCTTTTCCTTCCTCTAACTGGAAACACCCACCTTACAAACTATTTTCCTCTTGGGAATTTATTACCCAATTTTACACTACTATTGCTTGACACAGAAACATGAAACGCCCCTCCCTCCCAGATTTGTTACTATTTTGGCAAATTTATTTGGAACAAGAATCTCTGGGGTGAGACTTCTCACAGCAGGTGCCTCTGACACGCCCCTTTCCACTGTCATAAGATTTTTTCCCCCTAGAATTACATTTGGAACACAGATACCGTTTAACCTTTACGAGTGTTTAGTCTTCTCTCAGGACTGCGTGCCCAGCCAGGGCCACTGAAATCCACGTACCCCTGTGACAGCTACGGCAGAGACTTGCGACTAGGAAGTCTGGATGGAGTCGCTGACTCAAAAACTTCTGAGCGACCAGAGCACTGAAGTGTCAGTCAGATACGGTCCCCAGACAGGGAGAAGAACCCGAATCCCACCCTGAATGGAGATGGAGGGCCTCAGAGGAGAAGAAATGGAGATGGAAGGCCGCAGAGCGGGAACACCAGCTGACCTGCAGATCAGAGACACAAAATAAAGTGAACTGCAGCAGAGAACTTTTGTGAAACTAGAAATCGGGGAGGAGAGGGGGCGGGGCGGGGCGGGGCGGGGCGGAGTGCGCATGCGTAGGTCCAGCGCTAGAGGAGCAACTGACTGCGCATGCGCGTTGAGTCAGCCGGTGTCTCTGAGGTCGTAAACCAGCTCTCTGTCATGCAGCGGGATGATTCCACGGTGCCAGGTAAGCGTTTTATGCATGCGAGAGCTAGTTTGGGCTCGGGGCTCCACCACAGTCCCGGCCCTGCTCGAGAGGCCCTGCCTTCCCCACCCCCTCCCTGCTCCGGGCCTTGTGCCTGCAGCTCACCGAAAATCAAGTTCCGTTTCCGAACTCTGGTGTCCAGGGCCTGCAGGACCGATTCCCTTCTAAAGGCTCCTAGACTTTGTTTTCCTGTCATTCCTCATGGATTCATTTCGATAGAGACAATTTAAAAAAAAATTAAAACGCGAGGACATGTGCGATCCCTTTTGGATTGACAGGCCCTGGATAATTTGCAGACCCCGTGATTATTGCGTAGAGACTTAAGTGGTACTGAGTGACAAGTGAGCAGTTTTGCATGGTCAGGTCCCTTAGTTCCCAGGCTGATTGCACAGGTTTGGCCTAGGCAGTACCAGTTTATCCTGTAATTCAAGATCTTTTGCCTTGCTGGATGCCAAGTTTTGTGTATTGTGTAACTTAACCGAAATGCAGACTGGAATCAAAGGTCATTTGACCACCGTGAAATCAAAGCTGGCCCTTTGCTGATTGAGTTATTTATTTTACTTGTGTAATTCACTCCTTGACACAGTGAACCTGTGTTTATGATTTATGGAAGAATCAATTCTATGTCAGTTGGAGTCAGATTTAGCCATGTTTTCTAAGGAAAGGAACTAAGATTTAATGGTGCCACACAAGCTTGTGACAGGTTTAAAAAGTATGAAGAAATCAGAGCTGGGTTTAAAACGTTTGCCTCGAATACGAATCTGTGGATATGTTGAAGTTTTATGAGCAGTCACATTTGGAAACTTCCCAGTGCGAGTCATTTAAAGCATCCCTTCTTGTTTCAGATTGAAGTGTTGTATTTTGCAAAGAGTGCTGAAATAGCTGGCGTTCGTTCGGAGACCATTTCTGTGCCGCAGGAAATCAAAGCGTTGCAACTGTGGAAGGAGATAGAGACTCTGCATCCTGGGTAGTTAAAGTTGTAGAATGCGCAGAATGGACCCTTTAATGTTTTGGAAATTATGTGTGTGTGTGTGTGTGTATGTGAATGTGTGTGTTGTAACATAAGAATACTAGTTTTATTTTTCTTGAAATCTTAAAACTCCCATATTTAGAAATATTTAACAAGCATTACAGGTAATTTTCTAAAAAAAAAAAAAAAAAGACACAGTAAAGTGGATACCCCTAGACTTGTTTATATAATTTACCACCATCTTTATAATTTCTAGGGCAGAAAATGTAAGTTCTACCTTTTGTAACCTAAGGTGAGAATTTTAAAGATGCTTTTAAAAGATGTTCACTGTAAATGTTTCTGTCCTTTTCTTTAGAATATTTGAATTTTTCTGAGTTTTTTTTTTTTAAGAAATACAACAAACACTACATGCTGCTGAGCTTGGCTTTTTATGAAATTTGAAAAATGTCCTCCTGGCCTGTGAAAGTCTGAATGAAACTGTCATCATCTTCACCCCAAGCCCTTCTCTGATGAGACATAGAAGGGGATTTATTTGACAATGTCCCAGGATGCCAATAGTAGGCTTGACCCAGAACTCAGTGCTCGGAACAGAAGGCAACTGCCCTGTGTGTTCAGCAGGAAAGAAATCCTTCCCCTGGAGTCTTTCAGATTGCTTTTACATTCAGTGAAAAGTTGGCCAACCTTTGTGCTCTTTTACCTACTTTCAGGGACACAACTGTCCTCGTGGGAGACGTCTTGGCTAGACTATCTCTGTCTACGCTTAGGCCTGTGAAAACACCATGTTCTGATTGGGAAGTTGTTGGGGTTTTGTTGTTGTTGTTGTTTCTCTCTCTCTCTCTCTCTCTCTCTCTCTCTCTCTCTCTCTCTCTCGGCTTAAATATTGGCCTCGTCTAGTTTGGGGGTATTTGTTTATTTTCCCCCACCAAACACTCGGCTTTTCAGCAAATACTAACCTTCCACATCTCTGTCATCAAGTGTGTTCTTCGAGGGATATGCCCTCTACGGAACGAGAGTGAGATGAATGCCTTTGTGAGTGATGAGTTCCTCGGTGCAGCTGAGGAGCAGTGAGGTGCAGTTCACTTTGCCCCTTCTGCTCAGACTGTTTCTCTTTCAGATTGGCCGATGTGAGAAACCAGGTGATACTTGCTGTCCGGCAGGAGTATGTCGAGCTGGGAGATGAGCAGCTCCGGCTTCAGCCTGGAGACGAAATTGCCATCATCCCCCCAATTAGCGGAGGATAGTGCACCGGAGCCAGCTAGGTGGGTGGCATCTTTTTTCCCTAGCCAGTCTGGTGCTGCAGGACCCTACGCAGGATAACTTGTGTTTGGTGTGATGTTGCTGCATATTCTTTGTGAGTCTGTCTGCACTAGTCCTGTATTGATGCAGCATCAACAGGGTAGCTTCGCCGATGCACACCGTCTCCTGTCTCCCATCACTTCCGGAGTGAGTGGTTTAATGCCAGCATGCACATTCATTGTATTTATTTTACATTTGCTTACTGAGATCTTACTAGGCTTGTATTTTGATGGTGGGAAAACAAATTCAGAGGAGTTAAGAAAGAAACTCGTCTTTGGGGGCAGGGGAGGTGGCGCTGTCCATAAAGTGCTCGTTTGAGTGACTTCTCAGCTGATTTTAGAACCTGCAAGCTAAGTTTGGGTAGTCTTGTATTATCAGAGGGAAGGGGAATCCGTATGGTGGGAAGCACATAGGTGACCTGTTTGGGTTCTGTGTTGTCAGAATCCAAAAGGGTGTAAAGTAGTGGTTCTCAACCTGTTGGTCATGACCCTTTTGGGGGTCGAATGACTTTTTTTTTACAGGGATCACGTATCAGATGCCCTGCATATCAGATGTTTGCATTGCAGTTCATAAGAGAAGTAAAATTGTCACCCCAGAACGAGGACATGTAGTCAAGGGCTGCAGCTTTGGGAAGGCTGCGAAGCACTGGTGGAAAGGGGCTGAGCACCCCAGATGGTGTGTAGAGAACCTGAGAAATCCTGGGAGTCAGGTGCCTTTTTTAGTTTCTTAAAGATGGGTAATGGGGAAACACCACTGGATTAAGACTTCATGGATTCTCAGCACTTCAAATACATCTTTAATGACTTCTCTGAGCCTTCTTTCATTTTTCTAATCAGATGAACTGGCCCGGGATTTCTGATTACACTGCTTGTGCCTATAGTGTAAGGTCCTCGTCCCTGCCCCCTCAGGCTAGCCTCTCCCTTTGCTCCTGTGCTGCCGGGCACATCACGTTCTTTGTTGTTCTGAGTCTTGACATTTGCCACTCCCTTTAGCACCTACACCCTGTTTCCATTTCTTCACGTGCCTGCTTCTTATCTCTCAGGTCTGAACTTGGCAACATGACCTCTTTAGAGAGACCTTTGTGATCTCTAAGACCTGTTCCAGAAATTCATTTATTTCTATTAAGTTATCAGTGTGGTAGGTTTGCATTCCTCGTGTGTGTATGTGTATGTGTGTCTGTGTGTGAATGTACACATGCCACAAGGTGCATGTGGAGGTCAGAGGTCAACTTGTAGGAATTGATTCTTTCCTTCCACCGTGTATGTTCTGAGCTAGAAACTTGGTAGTTAGGCTTGAGGACAAGTATCTTTACCTGCTGAGCCATCTTCCTGGACCTGTGGTTCTTTGTTGGTTTTCTTGTCCTATTCATATATGGGCACTCTGAGGCCAGGAGCCTGTGCTTTTGTTCCCTGCAGACCAGTGCCTAGGGTAGTCTGTGGCCCGTAGTCATTTGTCTTAGGATTTCTGTTCTTATGATGAAACACCATGACCAGAAGCAAGTTGGGAACAGAAAACTTTATGTCTGCTTAGAACTATCCAGCTATACTCGGTGCTGAGAAGCCAGGAGAGGAACTCAAGGCTGGAACTGCAACAGAAGCCATGGAGAAATAAATGCCACCTACTGGGCTGTTCCTCACGTCTTGCTCATCCTGCCTTGCCTTGTCCGCTTTCTTAGACTTAGGACCACTAGCCTAAGGGCTGCACCTCGCTGCAGTGAACTGGGCCCCCCAGGCTTACCTACAGCCCATTTGGGATGGAAAGTTTGAGGTTACCTCTTTGCACATAACTCTAGTTTGTGTAAAGTTGTCATAAAACTACCCAGTGTAGTATAAAATATGGCATTGCATATTACTGTTTGGTAATAAATGAGACACCAAAAAAGACTTTACACAATATCTAGAGTTTAGGTCACAGTCGTTACCTTCTTTCCTCCGTGACTTCTGGGCTCGAGCCAGATTGTGAAGGGTTTCTTGTTCCTATGGAATCATTGTCTCCTTTCTTTTCCCATCTCTTGCTTGAATAAATGACATTCTATGAAATGAAAAGGACATTCTAGGAATGGGGCTTGGGTTCACAGTGGTTAGTGTTGTTCTTGGTGGTGTGGGGCTTGGTTGTATGGTGGTTGGTAGTGTTCTAGGTGTGGGGCGTGGGCACATAGTTGTTACAAGGAAGGCCGCTTGTTCGTCCCGGCCACCCAGAACTGAAATAATCACACAGAAACCACATTCATTAAAACAGTGCTTGGCCCATTAGCTCTAGCTTCTTATTGGCTACCTCTTATATTAATTTAACCCATTTCTATTAATTTGTATATTGCCATGTGGCAGTGGCTTACTGGCAAAGATTCTAGCCAGTGTCTGTCTCAGGCGGAGGATCCATGGTGTCTCCCTAACTCTGCTCTTTTCCTCTCAGAATTCAGTTCCATCTCCCCGCCTACCTAAGTTTTGCCCTATCACCAGGCCCAAAGCAGTTTTTTTATTAATCAATGAAGGCAGCACAAAGATAGAAGGACCTCCTACACCACATAGTGGTTAGTGATGTTCTACGTGGTGTGGGCTTGGTTGCTTGGTGGTTGGCGATATTCTAGGTGTGGGACTCGGTTATATAGTGGTTAGTGATGTTCTAGGTGTGGGGCTTGGATACATAGTGGTTAGTGATGTTCTAGGTGGTGTGTGGCTTGGCCACATAGTGGTTAGTGACTTTCTAAGTCATGTAGGAGTTGGTCACATGGTGATTGGTGATGTTCTAGGTGTGGGACTCTTCTACCTAGTAGTTAGTGATGTTGTAGGTGTGGGTCTCATTTACGTAGTAGTTAATGATTTTCTAGGTAGTGTGGGGATTGGTTACTTGGTAGTTAGTGGTATTCTAGGTGTGGGACTCAGTTACATAGTGGTTAGTGATGTTTTGGCTGTGGGGCTCGCTTACATAGTGGTTAGTGATGACATGCGTACAGATGAAAGTGGTGATACCTCAATTGTTTCGTGATGAGAGAGAGGAACAATAATTACATTCTTAGAGTATATGGGCACATGATATGGACACATGTAAATGGTTAGGACCATGTAGAATTACCGTAGACTAATGAGGGATAGTAATAGTTGTATTAGTTTGTTAAAACTTTGAACTTATCATTCAGATCAAATCCTCCTCTTCCCACCTGATAAAGAAAAAATGGGACATGGAAACAACATGTAAGTCTTATGTGTTACTTCTGATACTCTCACTGAAGGCCGTTGACATCTTATTTCCAGGAAAGATGTGGATGAGGTTGAAGAGAAACCTAAAGACATAATACTGTTGACTATGGAGAAGCTGTCAGTGGATGAAGTCTCTCAGTTGGTCATCTCCCCGCAGTGTGGTGCGGTATCTCTCTTTGTGGGTGAGTTTGTGATTTTCTCTGCTGCAGAGTAGGAACTAGTGACAATAACTTCTGTGTTAATGTCAACAGAGGGCGCAGGGTACTGAGTGGCAAACCAGGATTGCCCTTGAAAGTGGACAGAAATGTATGTATGTGTGTGTGTATGTATGTGGTTTTTCGAGGCAAGGTTTCGCTGTAGCTTTGGAACCTGTCCTGGAACTAGCTTTTGAGACCAGGCTGGCCTTGAACTCACAGAGATCCACCTGCCTCTGCCTCCTGAGTGCTGGGATTAAAGGCGTGCACCACCACTGCCTGGCTCAGTTTTGGTTTTATCTTAGTTACTTTTTGATTAACAAGCTGTATTAAATTACAGGGATAATAAAGGCATGGTAAAAGTCAACATTAAGAGAAAAAATTGCATTTTTAAAATATTGAGGTAAAAATGTATTTGTTGATAATACTGGGAACACATCTATTTTTTGTTTAAGTATGAAACACTATTGGTAAGAAGAGGAGCGCAACCTGTTTTGGAATATGAATACTTTCAGGGAGCTTGCTTGATTATTATTATTTCCTAATCATCATGGAGATGATCATCATTTATTCTCCTAATCAGGTTTTTCCTGTAGAAAATTTAAAGTAGGTTTTAGACAAATATACAATACTTGTTTGTAAGTTAGAAACAATTCTTTTTTTAAAAAAAATCTGTAAATGAAGTATTTCTAGTACAGGAAAAATGTTATTTTCATTGTGTGGTTATCTTTGTTTTGCTTTTTTAGGGACTACAAGAAATAACTTTGAAGGCAAAAAAGTCATTAGTTTAGAATATGAAGCTTACCTACCGATGGCAGAAAATGAAATCAGAAAAATTTGTCTTGATATCAGGCAGAAATGGCCAGTCAGACACATCGCGGTGTTCCATCGACTTGGGTAGGATTTCCTTATCTTTTGAACGTTGAATTTGGTTGCTTTTTGTCTGTATATTGATACTGACTGTCTCTTACGAGAAAGGAAGGCTTGTGCTTTTCCCCTGGAGGACAGCGGAGAGGTCTCCCAGCATCTTCCTTGACTGCTTATTGGACGGCAGCTTTGGGTGCCCTCGGTCCCCCTTCTGCTTTAGTGAAGACCTTCGGGTTGCCCGAGTGCCTGCAGCGATGCCTGCTTAAATCCCCAAGGCCCTTAGACAGTTGTTCTGGGCTCTGGGCTTGGCGTGTGTTGAAAGTTGACTGTAGGTCTGAAGCTGTTATAAACAGTTTATTTTTCTACTACCAAGAACAATGGCATTTTAAAAGAAGCCAGCAGTTAAGACATCTGTCATTATTTTGTTATTAGCTATAATTTTATTACTAATTACTAATGCTAATGTTGCCACTTCTGTTGCTTAAGATTAATTGATATTTATTATTTGTAATTATATATTAAGTGTGTGTGGTCCCTTTAGTCTTTAGATACCATATTACACTGTACCTTGTTTGAATTAGATGGCTGGTGAGTTAGAGCAGTGGTTCTCAACCTGTGGGTCTAAATGCCCCTTCCACAGGAGTTGCTGAAGACCATTGGAAAACACAGATATTTACGTTGCAGTTCATGACAGTAGCAAAGTTACAGTTATGAAGTAGCAACAAAAATAATTTTATGTTTAGCGGTTGCCACAACATGAAGAACTGTATTAAAGGGTCACAGCATTAGGAAGGTTGAGAATCACTGAATTAAAGAGAGAAGGAATAGACCTTTTCTTCTTAGTCCCCATAAAGAAGTTTTATGGATACCTGCTAATTTCCACTGACTATAACTGACATGAATGGCCATTTTCTAGTTAAGCTAGATATTTAAATAAAAGAGAATTACATTATAATTCTAACTTATAAGCAGATTTTCCCATTCCCTCAGTGGTTTCTCTACTATGTGAATCAGGAGATGATAGTAATTGTTTTCATCATCTTGTTAAAGTCTGGTTCCGGTATCAGAAGCAAGCACCATCATAGCCATGTCCTCGGCTCACAGAGCCGCGTCCCTGGAAGCTGTGAGCTATGCCATCGATTCTTTGAAAGCCAAGGTGCCCATATGGAAAAAGGTAAGTGACGGAAATAGCTCATTTGTGAAGTAAGAGGGCTTCAGAATTTGGCTTCTTATGCCTTGCATGCCTGTAGAATCTGGTTTTCCTTATCTGAAATGGTGCATTTATGATGTGCCTGTTTTCCAAGTTTAAGCGTAAAAAATATATGCCCCAAGGAATGCGTGGTGTGGAAAAGGCCTCCATGAGTGCTCGCAGATAGAATTTCTAGTCCACACTCTTCCTGCAGTTCATAAGGTAATCTCCTTTCAGTAAGGACTCTGTTCTACTAGAGGAGAGTGAGAATGACGTCAGCCACTTAGTCTCTGGCTACAACAGAAACCCCTTCAGGCAGAGGAGCCTTTGTGTAGTGGTTCTTTCTTAGGGTGGATAGTATATCTGAGAAAATGTTACCAGCCATGGTGCACATCTCCATTTTCAGCACTGTTGGGGCGATCACAAGCTTTATTCTCTCCTAGGCTACATAGACCTCATCCCCAATTTATGTATATGTATGCATGTAAAATAGAAGCAGTGATAGGACATTCTCTCGTTTTTTTTTTCTGCCAATAAATCAAGCTAAGCAAGAATGAGTAATTTTCTGGTTAAATGGAGCATTCTGAAGGGACACCCCCTACCCCACCCCCGACTGCAGCAACATTGACAGTTCTGCAGACAGTTCTATACTTGTAAATCTTGGAAATATGTACTTACACATCTGAGTCTAGAATTCCCTTAGCAGTGTGGCTGTTCCCAAAGCCAAGGAACTAATGCATGCTCAAAGGATCAGAAGAGCCATACAAGGCCAGGACTATCCTCAGAAGAGTGACTGGCCTCAGCCAGTTGGAAAGATGATGAGGTGGGACCCTGAACCAGGGTCTGGGAAATTCAGTGAATGTATTTTCCGGGTAAAATCTGATCCTCTCTGTGGGCTAGAGTTTAGGAACTACTTTGGGATTACAGGACAAGGTATGTGTAAAGACCTCGTGATTCTGAGAGAATAGGAGGCAAGTCTGCACACAGAAGAGGAGTGGAGAGCGTTCCAAATGAGATTCAAGCCAGATAGCAAGGCTGGTGTCTTCACTGGAGAGGAGCAGGCCGACAGTCAAGACAGCAGATGGGGGCCAGGGGCTAGCCCTGCAACTGAGAGCAAGGGGCAGTGGTGGGCAATGCCCTCGGTTTATTCTTCAAGGAATAGCTGGACTTTCTGTTTGCTTCCTGGTCTGTAGAGAAATGGGAACGGGTAGGTGCTCAGAGGCAATGAAGGGGAGCAGCGGACCCAGACCTTATCCAGGAACAGACAAGGCATTAGTGACTTCCCGTGGCCTGCAGTACACACCTTTCAGGCCACGCATTTAAAATAGCTGCTGTGAGGAAACTGAGAGGACCCAGAAAAGGCAAATTAGCAAGGTAGTAGAAATAGGGGAGGGTGAGAGGAAGAGGGGACAAGAAGAGGGGAGGGGGGGAAGAGGAGAAGTGAGAATGACAGGGATGAATTTAAGGGCAGTTGGAAGTTGAATCTGGATTTCTCTCGCTGTAGAAATGAAATTTGGCCAGTGTGGGAAGAGGCTGTAACCTTTCTCTTCCTGTTGGGTTGTCTGCATTCCAGTCTGATTCTTTGCTTAGCACACACTTGAAGATCTCCTGAGACACAGGCAAGGAATCGCAGGCAGATAGGGAGCACTGCACAGAGGTCAGCGGGCAGCGGCACAGGCCTGTGGAAAACACTTGCCAGCTTCTCACATAACCTCATAGCTGGTGGAAAGCCAGCCCACCTCCCATCTTAGGAACGTCCAGGTCAGTGAGTTTGGAAAGAAGAAAGGGTTTGAAGCTAAAGGCCTTCCATTTTCTCATTCCTAATCTACCTGCTAATAGATAAAAGTAGAGCAGGCAGCCCAGATGGAGTTGCTTACTCTTTTCTCTAGTTACATCTTGTGACAGCTTCTGCCTGTCATCTGTGTTTGTGTTCATACAAGTGCCGCTTAGATTGTTCAAGGTGGTGGGTGGTAGAAATGGATGTCCTGTTCTCTTGTCTGACCTGTCTGAGTGTATTTTATTCTCTCTTGTTAATTCATATTGAAGACCTGCCGTGGTTCTGTTTTTTAGGAAATATATGAAGAATCAGCATCATCTTGGAAAAGAAACAAAGAGTGCTTCTGGGCTGCTGCAAATTAGTCACTGGATGTTTGGCGGTGCCCTAAATCTTAAATGTGGCAAACAATCTCTTAGGTGATACTAACAGAAAAATAGAAGAATGCATGAGCGTGTGGGATGAGGGGCTGCAGGAACTAAAGGTGGGAAGAAATGGCTTGACTAAAATATGAGATGAAGTGTCTGCTGGACCATCCTTCTGAGACTAACTCCCAGTTGTAGCCAGCTCACAAGGGCTGTGTCCTCCCTTTTATGGTCATCTGTCCCAGGAAGACCTCCCTGTCTCATTGGATATTGACAGCATCATTATCAGGCATGTTTTACAAACGATCGGCAGGATCAGAAAGTCATTGTTAGTTTTGATATTATATATTTTACATAACTTAAACGTAAAACCAAATAAATCAAGATTTTAAATAGCTTAAAAGTAGATTCTATTTGTTTATATTCAGTGATAATATCTAAGAAATTTTATATTACAGAGACCACTGTGACTTCAGAATCTATAATTATACAGTAAACCTTTTTATATTTCATAGTTATCAGTATCCTTATGACTAAAAATTAGCATAAAATTGTTGTAAAACTAACTAGCAGCAAAATGGTTTGTGTTAAAGTGGTATCTGATGTTTGAAAGTTGGCCCACAACTACTTAGGGAGATTATGTGATTATTTATTAAAATAGTTTGGATAGTTTTCATAATGTTTATATGACATTAGCTTGTGTGAAGTTATTACTAAACAAATTAAATTTTCTGCAAGGTTTTTATACCAGACATCCAGTTTTTGATGGGTCAAGCTATCGTGGCAGGCCCGAGTACAAAAGTACCTTACAATTTGTTATGAATTTTTTTCAGCTTTATTGACCTATGTTTGATAAGTAAAATGTATTTAAGTTCTATAATGTGGTGTTTGGATGCTTGTGTTGTGATCATCATGACCCAGATGAATAACACATCTGTCGTTTTTGTAGCTTCAGTAGGGGGCGACTTCAGGTGCATTCTGAGCTCCTAAATATTTAAAATTCCAGCATAGTTGGATGATAGATGTCATCTTAGAATTAGCAGCATTTATGATAAGAATAAAGACTACCATTAAACACTTAGATTGAAGCGTTTTTTTCTTTCTAAGTAAGTTTAGTAATCCTATTCACTATATTGAAGACCACATTTTACCTAGTTAGCTCATATATTCAACAAATGTTTTCTGAAAGCTGATCGTATGACAGACTCCCACCTCTGTCCCACATCTTTGTTATCATGAGAAGACTGTCTTTCTTGATGGCTGTGAGTAACAGGATAGCCATGCATTCTCAGGGATTTCTTGGTTGCTTGGTCTCTGTTCCTTGGTTCACTCCTAATTATTGGGTCAGAGGGACACTTGGAAGAGAAAAAAATCTCCATCCTGCTGTGGGATAGTCTTTCTGTATGAATATGTGTTGCTCTCATTGGTTGATAAATAAAGCTGATTTGACCTGTAGCCAGGAAGAATAATACTAGGTGGGAAAGCCAAATAGAGATTCAGGCAGAAGGAGGGCGAAGTAGAGAGAGATGCCAGCAGCCACCCAAGAAACAACATGCCAGCAAACGGGCAAACACCATGGCAACATGGCAATACATAGATTAATCATGGGTTAATTTAAATGTAAGAGCTAGTCAGTAATAAGCCTAAGCCATTGGCCAAAGATTTATAACTAATGTAAGCCTCTGGGTGATTATTTGGAAGCAGCTGTGGGACTGGGTGGTGTGATGTTAAGTTGGGAGCGTCACCCCAGGCCCTTGCATCCATCCCAACCCCCTGGCCTGGGAGTTGCATTGGTCTGGACTCCAAATCCCAGCATGCCAGGTCCTGACCCCTCCCCAGGGGTATTACAGTGTATTTAAGTGGGAGGCCTAAGGAGGAACACTTGGTTATGGGTTTTGCATGTGCTCCCTATACTCTCGGCCACCTGAGAGTGCTGCAATTATTAAAACATGGGAATTTTAATTCGATTTAATTTGACTTGATTGGATTTCTGTGAGCCTGTGAGGAGGATTTTTCTTAACCGGTGGGACAGAGAAACTCCGTTTATACCATAAACTTCCACTAGTGATTTAGGGTAGTCTGGCTATCTCAGCCTCTCACTTTAGAACCTTCCTTTCCTTCCACAGGTTTTAGTCCGCGTCTGTGTCAAGAACTGGGTGTTGGAGTCAATTACCCTAACCCTGAAAACACATTAGGTTACTGGGCTACTGTGTATATGCCTAGGATTTTACACCCCTGATGTTAACATTAATGTGAGATACTTTCCATTTCTAAGGTATCTCTACTAGAGTTTAGTTTGAGTGGTGGTGCAAACCTTTGATCTCACCACTAGAGAGGGTCTCTGTGAGTTTGAGGCTAACCTGGTCTATGTCGTGAGTTCCAGGACACTAGGCTTACACAGAAAAATCCTGTCTCTAAAACCAAAACCAAAACCAACCAAAACCAACAAAAAAAGATTTACTTTTCAAATGCTCTTAAAAGGCCTTTATTGAAGGTAACTATGTTTTTCAAGAGTATAGAGCAGACCAGACATTAAAAGTGGTTTTAAAGAATCATGCCTTCATTAAGTAGGCTTGATGCTGTGTGTGACCTAGGCTCCTGTGCTTTTAAGTCTCCAGCATGAACATGTGGGATTAGATTTGGGACGCGCTGGAAGAACCAGAATGAAGCATCCTTGAAAGTTTATAGTGCATGGCACTGGAATTCAAAGGGATCTTCCTTATTCCTTAGTCCCTGACTTCTCAGGAGTGGCAGAGTTAATTGGTGGTTGAGAGATTAAAGGCTGATGTCACCGTCGCACGCAACCATTGCCAGCTGGCTGTTAAACTAGAAGAGTAACCTTCAAAACCAGCAGCAGCCCTAGCACATTGCGTGCTCTGGACCATGACTGGTCGTGACTGAGTTTCCACAAGAAGCTCGATAATCGTGAGCTGAAAATCTCCAAACAAAACACAAAAGTAATAGCAGATGTTCAGTCACTGATGTAGTCTCCAGATTCTTATCTTTTGGATATGATCTGTAGAGTCGCAACATGTCTTCAGAATGTTTTGAGACAGTGGTTAAAAAGCAGTCGTTCAGATCTTGGTTTTGACTTTCTGAGTACGAATGTCTTGGCTAATAGGATTCCTGGGTGAGTTTTGAATCCAGTTCCTTTACTTCCCCTTCATGGGCCAGGCCTTGTGGACTCAACCGTCACCTAACAGTCATTCTGCCTCTCTGCCATTTCCAACCTAACTCATCTATGTTTCTATAAGGGCCTTCACACGGTGCTGGGGTCCTCCAGACTCCAGCGTTCTCACCTCTGCTATCCAACATCGCAACCTTCCTCCCCACCTCCCATCCTGCTCCAGCCATTGCTGTGGCTGGTGTGGGCAAGCTGCTCTTGCCTCTTCTAGATTGTTCTTCCTGGTGAGATTTATGTACTCTGCTTCTTGTCTTTGTTCCAGTCTCTGAGTGTTATCAGCACAGAGAACCTTCACAGACTACCCTGCTTAAAAGTGGACTCCTGTCCATTTTCCTCGGCCTAGGTTTTGTTATGGTGTCTGATGCCACCTGAGGTACGACACACTAGCTTCAACTCCATGAGATCAAGGGCTTTCTCACCGAACGCATGAGCTTATAGCATTCAGCTAAATATTCGTGGTGGTGTTAAATACTGGTGCTGTTGGTTGCACATACTATCTCTCAAATTATACACACCTGACATGTAAGTCGCACCACATACAGATGTGAAACCAACCAGTAGGCAAATGTAGCTATTTGAGTCGGTGGTGTGTTGTAGTTAGTGGAATCATCCAGCAGAGGGCAGTAGATGCAGGCCTATAATTGTGAGTGACTTAAATTTAATGCTGACCAGAACCAAAAGGTTTGTTTGTAGTTTTTAGTACTAATATAGAACAGTAATTATTATACAGTTACCTGTATGGGGCAAGATGATGGCTTTCATACAGGTTTTTAAAAGCCATTGATAGGAAGGAAGCCCTGCTCTGAGCAATAAGCGATTTTCAATTATCTCTGCTGGGAAATGGAAACTTAATAGAGCGTCATTTGGTACATCAACCACACACCAGAGCAGACCCTGCACCCAGGAGTAGTTGGCCAACACAAAGTGGGTTCCACGCTTTTCTGTGTTATTTTTATTTATTTATTTTTTTGAGGGGGAGGAGAGAGAGAGGAGAAACAAAACCAAAGTTGGTTGAGTAGGGAGGTGGGAGAGTCTAGGAAGAGTTGAGTGGGGGAAAGAGTGTGGTTGAAATACATTGTCGGAAAATTTTTGAATAAAGAAATAATATGGGTCTTTCTGTAAAGAAAAATAAAACTAAAAACTAAAAACAACAGTAGCAACAAATTTTCTTTTCTAGCTTGTATTTTAATCTCATATACTCTTTTTTTTTTATAGAAAGTTATACATTTTTGGGGTGGGTATTCACATGAAGGAATCTGCCTGATACCAGAGTCGGAGATGTTTTAGCGTTGGCGTAGAAGGCAACACGGTCACATTCTCCCTGCCGTGCACATAGTGACGGCAGTCTGCGTGCCTGGGTCTATCGAGCTTCCGGGTCTATCGAGCTTCTGGTCTATCGAGTTTCCGGTCTCTCGAGCTTCTGGTCTATTGAGCTTCCTTTCTTTAGTGTGTGTGAGGTACCGTGCTTTGATCGTCTGTCAGGCCACAAACTTAGGCTACTGACAGCCCGTGTCTTCTTAAATTGAATCTTGAATGTGTTCTGAAGCAAAAGGACTCCCTAAGACGTATTGAAATGTGTAACTTTGCAATAAAAACCCAAGTAGAGGAGCTTACTTTCAAAACATTTTTAATGATATTTAACAACAGGTTAGGAAAAGAGCGATTTACAATTAAATAAGACTTTTCTGTCTGACTCTCGTGCTTTGATATCAGGAAAATTCTTATTTATGTCAATTACTATAATTTGATTGTTTCTAAGAAATCAAATAAATTCACCAAATTGGGGTACAATTCATCTTATTTACTTTTGGGGAGAGTAAAATGGCAAAGCACATTTAGTTCAAACCTGCAAACATTACATCTCAGCAAGATTACTAATCCTGTGTGGAGGGAATGAGACACTCTCCTCCTTTAAAAACACAATTCTACTATGCTTGTGCAATATATACATTTACATTTTGGCTTCATTTGCCAAAACCAAGTGCATACAATACAATCTATATATTTACACATTGACTACATCTTTGTACTTGAAAATTCAAAGTAGTAAATATTTTACCCCCAAATTTGCCCCCATGTTTATCTTTTAATGCTGGGTGTTTACTCTTTCGTGTTAATGAAAATGAACCTTCCTGAATGTACATAAAGGGCATAGTGCTCGGGGATTATGTGTAGAACTGTGTGTGTGTAAGGAGATGGATGAGGGAGTTCTGCTAAGAATCCTGCCTTCTCTTTAATGAAGTCTTAATGAGATTCTTACAGGTTAGATTACAGCCCTGTATCAAGATAGATGCAGCATAAGACTATACTTTATAATTTAGAATAATCACGGTGTGACTATCATAAATTGGCTTCAGTTTTCTTTGTTTTTCACAGTTAAAGGCAAGGTTCACTGTCTTATAAAAATAACACTGCTAGCTAGAAAAACATCTGACCAGTTAGGCATTCATAGTTAGGTGCTAAAATGAGTGATGCATAATTTTAAATGAGTCCAGTTCCTTTATTACACTATTTTACCTTGCTGTTCTTTATAGAGCTGTGTGCTGAGCATGCAGGAGGCAACTCAAGTTTTTAAGATCACATATTTTTGTGATCCACCATTTATGAAATGGAAATTTTAACCTGACATCTTTTGAGTCCTATACGTACTATTAAAGCAAAGATAGAGTTGAATGTACCACATAACTTCCTTCCCAACCCTGCCTATCTGCCCCCAATAATTTCTTGAGAACATTCATCTTTGCTAAAATTTCTTGAAAGATACAGGAGCCACTTAGTAAAGACTGGGTGTGGGGGACATTTGTTGGTGTCAGGACCCCGGGGGAAGATTCAATCTTTTTTTGAATAGGTAAAAGCCAAGGGTGCTGCTGAAAACCCTGTGAGGAGCAAGACAGCTC